TTATTGTTCACCTTTTAGATGCATAGCAAGCATTTGAAAAGACATTGACTTGAATCAGATGCACTTTAGTCTTTAAATTCACATCTTTGCTCCTTTGGAAAGGTCCTTGACAGCAACTTTCCAAATGCAATACTTCAGTATTGACTGTGGATCTTAGCAAGATTAAATAATTCACAATTTCTGTCTTTTCTCCATCTATCATGATGTTGCCTAGTGGCCTAGTAGTGAAGATTTTTATGTTTTTGATGTTGAGATGTAATTCATATATTGAAGGCTGTAATCCTTGATCTTTTTCAACAAGTGTTTGAAATCCTCACTTCCAGAAAGCAAGGTTGTGTCCTCTGCATAATGCATGTTGCTGATGAATGTTCCTCTGATTCTTTTTTTCAGTTAATCTTTTATTATTATTATTAATTTTAATGAAAATTTACAGAGACTTTGGATTTCCATCCATTCATTGTTGCATTTTTCTCCCTGCCCACCCCTCCCCCCCAATACACTCTTCTCTTTGAGAAGTAAAAGAAAAATTCTTTCACTATTTTACAATCCCCCCCCCCCAGTCCACTCCACTATGCAGCCTTCGTTCTGGACTCCTCTCATGACAATAATACCTAATCACATATCCCTTTTGAACAGTTTTCTCCCTCATCAGTTTCAATGCAGTATACATTATTTATCCCATCATTCTCAGTCTCCTCACAACCCCGATGCTAGTCCCGTTTTACAACAGTGACACTATGCAGTATTTGTCCTTTTCTGTGGATATATTTCACTCAGCATAATGTCCTCCAGGGTCACCCATTTTGAATAATACTGCATAAGTTCCTTGTTTTTCAGTGCAGCGTAGTATTCCATTGTGTAACTATACCACAGTTTCACTATCCATTCCTTTGTTGATGGTCACTTAGGTTGTTTCCAACTTCTTCCTATTGTGAACAAAGCTGTGATAAACATAGGTGTGCATATATTTGCTTGGGTGTCAGTTATGGTCTCTTTGGGGTATATTCCCAGTATTGGAATTGCCAGTTCAAACGGTATTTCTATTTGCAACTTTTTTAAAAAAAATAATTTTTATTGTGATTTTAATAAAAGTTTACAGAAAACTTGGATTTTCATTCATTCATTGTTGCACATTTTCCTCCCCACCCCCCAATTTGCTTTTACAAAAAAACTTTCGTTGTTGCATAATTTCTTCCCTCCCCAGTTCATTTTTCAATGCACCTATTATTCTAAACTGTTGTCATACAAATAATGCATAATCATATATTCCTTCCAAACAGTTCTTCATCTGTTCCAATGCAGTGTTTGTTATTTATACCCTCTTTTAGTTTACCCCCACTCCCATGCCAGTGCTATTTTATAATAGTGGTATTATGTAGTGTCTGTCCTTTTGTGACTGAGATATTTCACTCAGCATAATGTCCTCCAGGGTCACCCATGTTGTGTCATGTTTTATGAGTACCTTGGTTTTCAGTGCTAGTAGTATTCCATTGTGTGGATGTACAGTAGTTTTTCTATCCATTCATTTGTTGATGGGCACTTGGTTTGCTTCCATCTCTTTGCTATTATGAATAATGCAGCAATAAACATGAGACTGCATACATCTGTTTGGATGGTGGTTCTGGTTTCTTTAGGGTATATTCCCAGTAGTTGTTTGCTTTCTTGACTGCTGCTTCCATGGGTGTTGATTGTGAATCCATGTAAACAGAGATCCTTGATAACTTTGTTTCATGTTGAGGTGTAATCCATACAGATCTTTGCTCTTCATCAGCAAATGCATCAAGCCTTCATCTCCAGCAACCCAGAGTTGTATCATCTGCATATTGCAAGTTGTTTAAGAGTTTTCCTCAAACCCTGAGGGAGGGAAGTAAGTCCTAAAGATAAAAAGAAATCTCATTAGTGTGGGGTCACTAGCCAAGGAAACTGTGCAGCCACTAAAAATAACCCAGACCTGCTGCTCTGGAGTCTATTCTAACTCCTAGTCACCCTGTAGTAGAAGACTCCTCTATCAGGTTTCTGAGGTCATAAATCTTCACAAAAGCACACTCCCTTCTCTTGGGGTTTGTTTTGTTTGTTTGTTTTTTTCCCTTATAGAGTGGCAGGCAAGTTTGAACCACCTAAAGTTGCAGCAGCCCAACATTTAATCCACCAGCAGGCTTCCTGGTGCAGCCTAGATAGAAACACAAGTTTACTAGAACCTCCCAAAGGAATGAATACAGGTCTGCTGATAGTTTTCTATTTGCCTACTGAGAATGATTTTAGACTTAACCTTCAGAACTGCAAGATAATAAATCTGTGCTGTTTTAAACTGTTAACTTTGTATCACTTTGTTACAGCTGTAAGAAACTTATAGATAAATCTACCTGGAATACATGATGGTCAGATGTTATCTGAGTTTAAGATATATATGACTCCACTTTTGAGAAAGTGTCTTTCTTTCTTTCAAGTTCAAGAAAATGAAATGTCATTCTTGTAATGAAGGAAGGGAGAAGAGAGGCCACTGGCAGTCCTTCCTTGTCTGTAAAAAACAGGGATGATTCTAACTCAAAAGACTGGGGCAAGAGCAACCTATAAAACACACGTGCGTTCCTACCACATGGTCTAATTCAGCATAGGAACACATTCAAAGAAACAGCAATCAGAGAGAAAAGCAATTCAGAGAAATACAAATTTTAAAGGGGAAAATTCGCTTATTAAAAAATTTTTTAAAATATAGTTTGTCATCAACAAATGGTGCTGGCAAAACTAGACTGCTACCTGCAGAAAGCTGAAATAGGATCCACATCTCACACCATACACAAAAATCAACTCAAGGTGGATCTGAGACCTGGCAGTAAAGCCCAAAACTGTAAAGTGCATCAAAGACAAACTGGGATCAAACTTAGACAGCCTACTCTACTGTATATATTTGAAACTTTTTGAGAAAGCAGCATACCTCCTTCCACAGTGTTTGCACCATTTTCCACTTCCACCAACAGTGAATAAGGGTTCCAGTTTATCCACAACATTGCCAGCATTTGTTGCTTGCTCTTTGTTAAATTTTGCTATTCTTACTGGGCTGAGATGATATCTCATAGTTGTTTTGATTTACATCTCTCTTAGGGCTAGGGATTTTGAACATTTCATGTGCTTGTTTGCCATCTGAATGTCGTCTTTGGTGAAGTGTCTGTTTGTATCCTGTGCCCATTTTCAATTGGATTGTTTACCTTTATCTTGTGGTGCTCAAATATTTTATAAATTCTGGATATAAGTCCCTTATCTGACATGTCATTACCAAATACTTTTTCCCAATCTGTGGCTTCCCTTTTTACCCTGTTGGAGAAGTTTTTGGATGTGCATAGGGATTTGATTCTTAGAAGATCCCATTCATCTATTTTATCTTCTCCTGGTTTTAGATTCCTCTGATTCTGATGCCAAATTCCTTTTCATAGAGTTCAGCTTCTAAAATTACTTGCTCTGCATACATATTGGATAAATATAGAGAAGAGATATAACCCTGACACACACCTTTCTTGATTTTATACTGTGCAGTGTTCACGTTTCCTGATTTTATACCATGCAGTGTTCTGAGTGTGCTCTGGTGGTCTTTGGTGGGAAACTGTAGTGCAATCCCAAAGACACTCCATTGGAATCAACCAGCTGCTCAAAGGGAGAACAATGGGCAGTCTCTTCCCATGCAGTTAACTGCCTCTTGAATCCTGCTGGACAGTCAGCTATGGGTTGGTTCCAGCTTCACGGCACACAACAACAACAGTGTTCCTAGCAGTGCGATTATATCTGAAAAATATGCCAGAAAATGAGTCCCGTAAGTTAATCAGTTCTAACTCATGATTACCCTATGTGTTTTAGAGTAGATCTCTACAGAATGGTTAGTTCTATCTGTTGGGGGGAGGGGAATGGAATGTATCTTAAATATAATTTTCTTTTTTGGGGGGGGAAGATACCTGAAGACTGTTTATTCAGAGTTTATTATAATTAGGAGTCAGCCACTATACTTTTACTTTTGGACAAGACTTAGAAGAGACAGATTGTAAAGCTTATGATGGAAAAAGGCATGACTTTAGGTGTGTCCTGATTGCAGACTGTTGGCAAGGGAAAGCTGGAGGTGAAATAAATAAAAGGAAACATAAGCTTTAGGGGAGCTCTGGTGGCCTAGTGGCAAGAAGCTGCATTGCAATCCTGGAGATATGCGGTTCAAATCCACCAGATGCTCTGCCGGAGAAGGAGGGGCCATCTCCTCCTGTACCAGTCAGATCCAATTTGATGGTACACACACACACACAAACAAAATAATAAAATTTTAAAAAAAAGGAAACATAAGCTTTGTGGTATGTTGGGGTAACATATTTGGCCCTTTCAATTGTCCTAAATTAGAAATGATATAAGTGTTATGGAGGCTGGCAGTTATTGACAAAGTCTTGACCATTTTAGAATAATTGAACATTGTGGTTTGGCTTTGTGGACTGGGTGCTGCCGAGGTTGTGGGCCAAAATATCACATTCTTGAGAGTCAAGTTTGCATTTCAGACTTGGTATTTAACATTAGAACAAAGTGTATCAGTTTCCAATCTGAATTGTCTATTCTTGGTGTTTAATACGTTTTGCCTTTTTTTAGCAAGCTTTTTTAAAAACCCCATATTATCAACATTCATTGACAGTGTTGCTCAGTGTTCTCTTTTCTAAAATAATTCTAAAGGACATGTATAATTTTACAAGGAAAATATCAATGAGGAGACTAAAGAAGTAGTAGAGGAATTTGATAAGTAAATATTCTTTTGGTAAAACTACTTGTACTCTTAGTGAAAATACATTAGCAATAAATTTGAAAATATATTTAGACAATTAGTTATATATAAGGCAATATTAAACAGTACTCTTTGGAATGAACAGAGAATAACCTAAATTTTATATTAAATCTCCTTAAAATTTATGTGGTGTTATTAAAAAACAAATATAATACATATTTTTACCTAAATTATGATTATTTCTTATTCTCCACAGGATTCTGAGGGAAGAAGTCCATACCGATGTTACGTTCTGTGTAGGTGGCACTTTGTTCAAAGCACACAAAGCAGTCCTTTTCACAAGAGTTCCTGACTTCTATTATCATACTGTTGGAAAAACATCAAATAGTTTAATTTATCTTGAGCCTTTTTTTGAGAACATTGAAGCTTCAGAATTTAGAACATTTTTACAGTAAGTGCTTTCTTTATATTTCTCCCTCTTCTATTTTAAGTATAGTATGTAATCATCTAATTTGAAAACATATGTGTATCTATGTTTTATTTTTTACAGTTCCTTATCTCTTTCATAACCTTTCAGAAAAAAAAACCCTTCATTTAAATTTCAAATTACCTAAGTAAATAGTATTATTCACTTCTATTAGTATTAGTGTATTAGCATTGTAGAGGCAAAGCACTTAGATACAAGGTAGGTAAGTTATGAATTGTCTTGACAGAGGATAAATAAATGGTGTGCTTTTGAGTAACTGGAATGAATTTCTATATGCCACCAATCAAAAGCAGTATTGGTATTTTAGGTTAGATAATTTTTCTTGTGGGGCTATCGTATCTGTTATAGAATTTTTAGCAGCATCCTTCTCTGATTCTACCTACTAGATGTGAGTTGCATGCTGTGCAGTAAAGAATTTGATCTTGATCCCAAAGTGGGGTCTGGCTTTTGACCTAGGCTTCAGGGAAATAATATGTGTCATACTTATTAAAGAAGTCTCATGTGGGTGATAAGAAGTATAGAAATCCCTGTATAGTACAGACCAATAATTAGTTTGCCACTAACAGATGTTTTGGCAGTTTGAACATACCTAGAGGCACCTGTATAGATTATAACAGATTGTAATTAACCTTGAGAAGTATAGGAATCCCAGAACATTTGATTGTGCTCCTTCAAAATCTATACTTGTACCAGGAAGCAGTCATTAGAACAGAACAGTGAAACACTGCATGATTCAAAATCAGGAAAGGAGTGCATCAGAGATCCAGCCTCTCTTCATACCTTTTTAATCTATATATGGAGTAGATCACGGGGGAGGCTGGACTTTATGTGGAAGAGTGTGGCATCAGTATTGGAGGAAAACTCATCAACAACCTGTTATGCAGAGACAACCTGGCTTGCCAAAACTGAGGAGGACCTGAAGTGTCTGCTGCAGAAGATCAAGGACTACAGTCTTCAATGTGGATTGAAGTTCAACATCAAGAAGACAAAGATTCTCTCCACTGGGCCAGTTGATAGCCCCATAATGGATGGAGAAGAGATTGAGATTATTAACAATTTCAGCTTGCTCAGGTCCACAGTAAACATTCTTTGTACCAGTAGCCAGGAAATTAAAAGATGAATTGGATAATGAAGGTCTGTACAAGAAACCTCTCCAGAGTGCTGAAGAGTAAAGATGTTAATCTGGAGACTAAGGTGTGCCTGATCCAGTCCATGGTCTTCACAATTACTTTATATGCATCAGAGAGCTGAACAATGACCAAAGATGACTAAAGAATAATTGATGCCTTTGAGTTGTGGTACTGGAGAAGCGTATTGAACATACCATGGACTGCCAAGATAATAAACAGGTCTCTTCTGTAGAAAGTGAAGTCACGTTGCTCTCTGGAGGCAAGGATTTTGAAGCTCTGTATCACATACTTTGGGCATGTGGTCAGGAGGGACCACTCATTGGAGAATGATATCATGTTTGGAAGGGTGAAGGGACAAAGCAGAACAGGAAGACCCTGGATGAGATGGATTGACACAGTGATTTGTGTAATAGGGGCAAGCTATTGGAGACTTTGAGATTGGCTCTGGATAGGACTGAGTTCAGAGCTTTTATGTATAGGGTCAGTATGAGTCACAGTTGACTTGACAGCACATAACAACAACTACAAAGGTACCTTGAAAAAAAGCCTGATGATGCGCTTCCAGAAGGTGGTTATGGCCACTGGAAACCTTATGGAACATAATTCAACACGTGGAGTCACCATAAGTTGAAATTAACTTAATGGCAACTCAATTTTTTTGTTTTGTTTGATTTTGTTTTTTAATCAATATAAAGCAGTATTAAGAATCCTGGGTGACGTAAGCACTTAAGTGTTTGACTCCTAACCAAATGGTGATAGTTGAAATCCACTTAAGGGTCCTTGGAAGAAAGGGACCACTTCCGAAAGATCACACCCATTGAAAATCCTGTGATGTTTGATTCTTCTCTTCAATGTGGAGACACCATGAATTGCAGTCTACTATAAAGTACTATCCTTTATTATTAAAGTATTATTTTAATTTGCAGTCTCCTGAAGGTTAATAATATTGTACATATTTTGAATTGTATGTACTTTTAGCCATTTGAGTATCTTCTGTGGATAAACATCATTAATTTTCCCATACATCCCCTCATCTGAAGAGCAACGATGTCAGTCTGGAGATTAAGGTGCACCTGATACAGGCCATGGACTTTACAGTCACTTGCTATATCACAGAACTGGACTAGGGATTATAGAAGGAATATTGCTGCCTTTGAGCTGTGGTGTTGGAGAAGAGTATTGAATATCCCATGGGCTGCTAAGAGAATAAACAGATTTGTCCTGGTGAGAGTGAAACCAGGCTGCTCCTTGGAAGCAAGGATTCTGAAGTTCCATGTGACATACTCTGGACATTTTGCAAGGAGGGACCAGTTCTTGGAGAGGTACGTCATGCCTGGGGGGGGGGGTGGAGGGACAACACAGGAGAGGAAGACCCTTGATGAGATGGATTGATTCAACGACTGGGGTAATGTTAGACAGGTGTGTCGGTGACAATGAGACTAACATAAAGCAAGGTTTAGGGCTTTGTACATAGGGTTGCTAAGAATCGTGGGCAACTTGACGGCACATAACAACAACAACAACATCCCCTCATAGCTGTATTTTTGTACCTGTATATTGCCAAGCCTTTCTTTCATGGCATTTCCAGATCTAGTTTCACCTTCAGCTTTTCAGTGAGTAACCCAATACAGACTTCCTTTTTGACTGTATTATTTATCTTTTTATTATTGAGTTGGAAGAGTTCTGCCTATATTCTGAGGACTTAACCCTGAACAGATAAATGATTTGCAGTTTTCCTCTGTTTCATAATTTTTTTCACCTTCTAGTTGATGTCATTTGTAGTATGATTTTTTTTTTACATTTTGTCATTTTGTGCTTTAGTATTAAGAATTTATCTCCCAATATAAGATAATAAAGATTTACTCCTGTATTTTCTTCTAAGAGTTTTATAATACTAAAATCCTACCTCTTACAATCTGTTCTTTGATCCATTTGTGTTCATTTTTGTGTCTGACCGGCTTTCAGCTTTGTTCTTTTATATGTTGGTATCTATTTGTCCCAGCTCCCTTGATTGAAAGACTGTCCTTTCTGTATTGAATTGTCCTTTCAAAAATCACTTGACCATAGATGTTTATGTTTACTTGTCAAAATATCAGTTGTATCCTATTGATTTATATGTTGATCCTTCTGCCAGTGCCAGTTGCCTTTTATGACCTTCATGAAACTCAAAGTAGAAAATTTGTGTTTTGATGTCCTGGATCTGAGGTGTATTTTAGATGTTAGTCTTTTAGTAATTTGGTTACATACTTATTCCTGTTCTCAAAATCATGGGGTTTTTTTGTTTTGTTTTGTTTTAATTATTAAATTTTATTAATTTTAATGAACATTTACAGAGATTTTGGGTTTTCATTCATTCATTGTTGCACTATTTTCTCTACCCTCCTCTCCAGTTCGTTCTTTTTTTTTTTTACCCCTTGAAAGTCTGTTTTAATTGTCCAGTCGCCACAGTGCTTGTCAAAGCCAGTTCTGATTAGTCTCCTT